CCCTCTCCCACTCCCCCTGCTTGTGTTCCCTCTCTCGCTGTGTCTCTCTCTGTCAAATAAATAAATAAAATCTTTAAAAAAAAAAGAAAGTGAAAACTTCTAAAAGAAAGGTATAAAGCGCAATACTTCAATACTTCATGGAGGAAATGCTATTTGAATTATGCTTGACAAACATAATTTTCTAATACTATACATTACACAGCAATGTGATTTCAAAACACCATTAACCTTAATAAAAATTTTAAAGTTACCAAACTGATAAGATTTATTTATTCATTGATTCTCTTGGCAAAATTTACTGAGTACCTACAGCATCCCCTTCACTCTTCTACGTGCTAGAAACAAAGCAAGAAACAAGAATACTCGTTCTGATGGAGCTCACAAGCTGGAGGAATTTTTTCCTTATGAAACAAACATTTACACAATCTATAAAAAACTTCTGAGGACTTCTGAGTTCATAATTATTACTGAAACATGCCTTTATCATACCATCCATTTTAGGAAACCAAAAAAATCTTCAAAGATCAAGCAAGCAGACAATGTATGTGTAGGTTAGAATATGAAAAGTTTCCAGAGAGACTGAAGAAACATTGTTTCCCCATCTCTAATAATGCATTCCCCAAAGAATAAACACTATCCAGGTGTCAAGAACATCCACAAATAGCTTACCAGTTTTCTCCTACTTTGAGATGCTGAGTGCAAACTGCAAGGTTCATAAAGAAACATATTTCCAAGACGCTATTATTGTTTGACATCACGAACATAATGCTAAGCTTCTTTAGGACAATATACTGTTTAAAAATCTCCCTGGCTTGGCACCTGGGTGGCTCAGTCGGTTAAGTACCTGCCTTTGGCTCAGGTCATGATCCCAGGGTCCTGAGATCGAACCCCATGTCAGGCTGCCTGCTCACTGGGGAGCCTGCTTCTCCCTCTCCCTCTGCCTGCCACTCCCCCTGCTTGTGCTCTCTCCATCTCTGTCAGATGAATAAATAAAATCTTTAAAATAAATAAATGAATAAAAAATTTAAAAAAATAAAAATCTCCTTGGCTTAATCTGTCCTGATTTTAGATTTTGTATCTCCTACATGGTGTCTGATGACTGTCATTTCAGGGGGTATAAACTGACAGATCTGAAGGAGAAAAGAAATATAATAAAACAGACAACCTGAAATCCCAAAGTGATTAAGAATGTTTACAAAAACATAACTAATTGTGCATGTATCTATCTACACACAAGTCTTTCTTTATGTTCATGGAGGGAGAAGTGAGAGGGGAAAGCTCGGAATAAGAGTCAAGAAACTGAGGCTTGGGGCGTCTGGGTGGCTCAGTCATTAAGCGTCTGCCTTCGGCTCAGGTCATCATCCCAGGGTCCTGGGATCGAGCCCCGCATTGGGCTCCCTGCTCCGCGGGAAGTCTGCTTCTCCCTCTCCCCCGGCTTGTGTTCCCTCTCTCCCTGTCTCTCTCTGTCAAATAAATAAATGAAATCTTAAAAAAAAAAAAAAAAGAAACTGAGGCTTTAGGCCCATCTCAACCACTAACTAACCATGTGACCTTGAGAAAGTCATTGGATATTGCTCTCCTTCATTCCTTCATCTGAGATATTATGCGTGAGACTAGATAAACTTTAAAGTACCAGGCCTAGAGACAATGACGTCATTGACAATTTATGCAATTCTCAGGTCTTAACGTCTCAGGCCTTCTATAAATGAATGCAGAATTTAATTAGAAAATAATGCCCAAAAAAACTAGCATGAAGATAAACTGTCATGTCAGGACATTTACATACTATTAAAAATGAACCCAGTTAATCAACAATTCCTAACACAGGAAGAACCAGAATACAAGCTCTCTTCACAACATTTTGCCTTCTTCCCCTAGTTGTGAATCACTATTTATATTCTTAGTAAGTTAAATCACCAATCTTCCTTCATTACCTTCCAAACAACTAAAGTTACTAAGTACTAAGTTACTAAGCTAACTTGCTTTAAAATTAAATCTCAGGAAACTAATGGTCTGCTGAAAAATGCAAACCAGAAATATCAATTTCATTCTGCAAAGACTAACCCCATAGTATAAAAGTGAAAACAAGGCAACTGAAATTATTCTTAGCAAATAAATTTAATATAGAACTTCCAAAAGGCTCTAGATATCATAATCTAACACGTGAGAACTTGAATGAAGAGAGTCAATAGAAGCTTATCAGTGAAAAAACTCAAGTCAATTAATAATCTTTTTTACCTTATGAATATCTGGACATATTTCATTAGGAGAACTACTTCCAAATCCCAATATAATACTCCTTTGAAATGAAGATAACCAAAAGGTAATTAATTACATGATGGCTAACTCAAGAATTGGAAAAGAAAGATATTCTCAAGGATTACCCTAAAAACTAGCTTAATAATAAATTTGGCACCACAGCAATAGCATCTTTTATGAAATATCCTAATCTATTTAACAAGAGTGAGAAATTTCATTTAAAAAATGTATAAGTTTGTTATTTTTACTTTCTGACAAAGATGAACAAAGACTTATTTAGGAAATATTAATATCTTACCTTTGAAAATGCAATCTAGGTGAGGGAAAAGAGGATAGTGATGTTTATGTTGGGCTATCATCCAAATGTCACATTAATTTTTCTCACCAGCAGATGATCCAAGGTTCCCTATGTCTATTAAAACTTCCTGTGGCAGTACGCCGTGCCTAGAAATCCCGTCTAACATTGAAGTTATGGACTTAGAAATGGTGTTCTAAGAAACTGTAATGAATAGGAAACTGTAAGACCTTCAAGAGCAAGAAAATATGAATGTAACTGGTGTGGTGAATGTAACTCAGGCACTGGATTACCTCAGACAATTGTATCCTATCATGACCTTGCATGATGGTACTAAGTACGCAGTGATATTTTTATATTAGGAGGCCCTCTGCAACCCACCTCATCTACATAAATTCAGTAGTTAAAGAGCACCTAGAAATGCGCCAAGCTTTATTAATACAAAGACTAATGAGAAATGGTCTCTGCCCTCAGAAAGTTTTCCCAGAAAGGAATTATAATACAATGAAGTACAATAATGTTACAAATCACAGCTGAAAGTTACTATGAGACCACATAAAAGAGACACCTCATTCAGCTTGGTAAGCAAGGACTTTCAAGCAGAGAGATTTAAAATAGAGAAATGAGTCAGGAAAGGGTTGGGGTAAAATTCAAGAGTAAAGGAGGTACTGATAAGCAAAAGCACGGAGGTAAGGGAACAGCATGGCTTTCCGTGTGGAACCGAAAGCAAGTCCGAGTACTGCTGAATACACCATTCATAAATTAGTAAGTCAAGAGAAAACTGGGGAAATAGGTTGAAACTGTGTGAGAAAGAGAGCCTAGCATAACAAACTCGATTTTACCCTCTAGCCCAGGGATTTTCCAACTATTTTGGAAGCCACACTATTGTTTGCCAGTAGAAAGCTGCCATAAGATATCAACATGTAAGTTCTATAGAAAGAGCTAACGGGGTAGAGGGCAGTCCCCATGCTCAGCCCACACTATGCAAGTGCAGTTTTAAAACCACAATTGTGTTAACTTAAGCAAGGGAGTGATACAATAAAATTTACTCTCGTTTTTTTTTTTTAAAGATTTATTTGTTTGAGAGAGAGTGCACGTGCACAAAGAGGGAGAGAAAGAGGGAGAAGCAGACTCCCCACTGAGCAGGGAGCCTGACGTGGGGCTCCTTCCCAGGACCCTGGGATCATGACCTGAGCCAAAGGCAGACCTTAATTGACTGAGCCACCCAGGTGTCCCAAGATTTACTTTCTTGACATAACACCCTGATGGATGTTTAGAGAATTGCTCTGAGCAAGACAGGATTGGAGGCAGAGATGTCAATTAGGAACAGGTGGCAAAAGCCACAGCGAGAGATGAGGATATGCGCTGGCGTCATGGCAGTAAGAATGGAAGAAAGGGGGTAGTTTTTGAGGACCATCAGAATGCCCTGGTGAAGCTAAACTGAGCCTATGTGTGGCGGTATTACTTGATCCCAATTGGCAGGTTTCCAATGGAGAGAGCACTCACTACTCAATTCCCAGGGGAAGAAGCTATCTTTTCTATGTATTGTGTAGTAGCTTACCTAGTATTTCTAGTCAACTTTCCTAACTAATCAATGCTTAACTTTTTTTTTTTTTAAGATTTTATTTGAGAGAGAGAGAGAAAGAGCATGAGCGGGGAGGAGGGGCAGCAAGAGAGGAAGAAGCAGACTCCCCACTGAGCAGGGAAGTCTTAACTTTAATAATAGCTTTTCTCATATTCAATATTTCAACCATCAATTAGATCTGATAGGGTTTTGTTTTGTTTTGCCTCTTACTCTTAAAAAGAAAACACTACTATATTATGTTCTAAAACATTTCTTTTCTTCAAAACAACATAGTCAAAGTAGCTTTAAAAAAAGCAAAACAAAAGCTCTAAAATGAGCATATGCCATTCCATCTCCCTCATTTATTTTATTTTACATTACCTTTCAGGGCATTGCTGGAAAAAAGCCGTCAGCTGCTGCAAAAGTACTGGCCAGCAGTCAGGTCTGTGTTCAAGCATAGTGATCAAAGGCTGAGGATGATTTCTGAAAAGCACAGAGAGTCACATTGGAAGCTGTTGTTTAGGGACTACAAATTCTCAATATCCAAAAAGAGCAACAAGGGCCAATGCCATCTAGCAACTTTTTTCCAGGATGCAAAACTATCATTTGTTGCAGAGTTGGGTCATTAGAACTAACATTTTTTCCCTTTATCTACCTGTTTTGCAGAAAAGAGAATCAACTCTGAGTCTTAGGGATCCAAATTTGAGCACGAACTCTGCCACACAATAACTCTGGGACTTTGGCCAAGCTCTTGAATCCAGGAGCTCGGTCATATCCATCTCTTTGGGTTTCTTTATTCCTGGAAATCTTGGGCCACCTCCCCCTCCTCTCTTTCCAAACCTGGAAGGTTCTATTTCCTCTAACATTGCCCCAACTTATACGCACTCTCTCTCTGTTCCTACTTACCCCCTGTTCTTCTCAGTGTATGGCTCCATTCCTCCAGCATATTTAAGATAAGGAAAAAGAAAACATTTCTCCCATCTCAAAATAAACTCTCCAAACTGAAAATTCTTAAAATTTCTACTGAACAAGAATGAGAATTTTTATTTGGGCTACATCCATTAATATACCTAAAGAGACTACAAAACATAAGATCTGAAATCTGCAGGATTCTCCAATAATGAGGTTTAAGAAAAAAAAAACATCAACACAGGTTATTTTAAATAGTTCAAAAAGCCTATTAGAAATAGTAAATTCAGGGGCGCCTGGGTGGCTCAGATGGTTAAGCGTCTGCCTTTGGCTCAGGTCATGATCCTAGGGTCATAGGATCAAGTCCCGCATCGGGCTCCCTGCTAGGCGGGGAGCCTGCTTCTCCCTCTGCGCCTCTCTCTCTCTCTCTTACTCTCATGAATAAATAAATAAAACATTTTAAAATAAAAAAAATAGTAAATTCATTAGCTTTTTAAACTATGATGTACTATACAAAACTTTTAGTTATTATTGATATGGCTTTTTCCTCCAAAAAAATTAATAAAACAATTGTAAAAAAAATCAACCTTTCCTTTTTTACATAAAAGGAATCATATACATAATACTCTTTAATCTCAAATTTTAACCCTACAATGTATCTCTAGCAATGTTTAAAAAAAAAAAAATCAAGCCATCAATTAAACCCAAATGACTTTTTTTTTTTTAAGACTGCCTTCTTGGTGATTCTCAAAATGTGATCTCCTTAAGGTCAGTATCAACATCACCTGGGAGCTTGTTAGAAATGCAAATGGATTCGCAGGCCCCAGCCCAGACCTAATAAATAGCCCTCCAGACAATTCTTTTTTTTTTTTTAAGATCTTATTTATCTATTTGACAGAGACACTGCGAGAGAGGAAACATAAGCAGGGAGAGTGGGAGAGGGAGAAGCAGGCTCCCCGCAGAGCAGGGAGCCGATGCGGGGCTCGATCCCAGGACCCAGGGATCATGACCTGAGCTGAAGGCAGACACTTAACGACTGAGCCACCCAGGCGCCCCAGCCCTCCAGACAATTCTGAGGCCCTGCTATAAAGCAGCAGTTCTCAATCCTGGTTGCATGTTTGATTCATCTGTGGAGCTCTTTTAAAAATACCGATACCCCCCCCCCCAAAAAAAAAACCAAAAACAACAAATGATACCCAGGCCTCAATTATATTGGGGTTGCTAGGAGTGGGGCACAGGCATTAGTCATTTTTAAAAACTCTTCCAGCAATTCGAACGTGTTGCCAGAGTTGAGAACCACTACAAGGAAAAAAACCCCAGAAGAGGGAGGTGAAGAGTCAGCAAGTTTTCGGATGTCTCGCTCCTCTTAAACAGCAAAGTATGGCAGGTCCGTCACATGGAAACTCTGCAGTGAGGCACGGCTCTGACATGACTCCACAGTTCCCTCATATCAGAACGCCATCTCCTGACGTGCTCCTCAGCCTCACCTAATCTATCACGCACTAGCGTCACTTCCTGGCAGCCTCCCGTTTGTCACAGCACAGGCTATTTCTGACTGATCAGATGACTGCCATTGCTAAGGGATCGCTCCAACGCTTTCTGCCAACACTCAAAAATCCTATTTCCAAATTCCAAACTCACTGGCACTTAAACCTACCTAGAATTGCTTCTGCTCTAGCTGCCATAGATGTTAACAAACAAATGTTCCAGATCCTGACAGTCTCCCAGGAATGTCACATCAGCCAAACTTCTAAGGTTGAGAGTTCAGTAGGTCATGTTCCAGTAGACATGAACAAAAAGGAAAGAACAGCACCTGCAATCATTTTAGGTATGGGTTTGGCTCCTGCCAAGCACCATATTGAAATGAGGAGCATCACATAGGACCATCCATTAATCCTCCACCTAATGGTGGCATTTATGACTATTTAAGAAGAAAATCCAACAAGTTATCACGTCGTTATGTATTATCACACATCGTGTGTGATCATAAAGCACTTAAGTGCTTTTCAATACTCTTCCCTTATAAGTTATTCCTTCCCCCATCTCGATCCTCACCCCCCACAAAAAAATCAAGTATCTATTGTTTGGGTGGGGTTTTTTTTTTTTTTTCCTATCTACTGTTTAAAATTTTTGTCCAAATTAAATCGGGTCAACAGAAATAAGAGGTAGTAATTTTAAAGTAGGATCAGAGGGCGCCTGGGTGGCTCAGTCGGTTAAGCGGCTGCCTTCAGCTCAGGTCGTGATCCCAGGGTCCTGGTAACAAGCCCCACGTCCAGCTCCCTGCTTGGTGGAGCGCCTGCTTCTCCCTCTCCCTCTGCCTGCCACTCTGCCTACTTGTGCTCTCTCTCTCTCTTTCTGTCAAATAAATAAATAAAATCTTAAAAAATAAATAAAGTAGGATCAGGAATGCTGCACATATGGCCAATGTAACTTAGCTTCTACTACACTGGGATTGTGGGAACCACTCTAGCTTTGTTGCATGAAGCTGAAGGCCTGTTTTGCTAGCCATTGGATTTAGCAAAGTCTATTTAGTATCTCAGACTTAAACACTAAAGATGAGACGAAGTAGAATATAGGAGAATAGGGATTATCCAGATTAATTACTGATTTAGACATCTGGATAATTAACTTTTCCAAAGAATTGATTACATCTGATCCAAGTGCAAATATTGCAGAGAATAATATACAATATTGATTCCAAGAACCTCTCTTGAGGCAGAAGGGAAGTCCAAAATAAGAACATTGAATCTTACTAGTGATTAACATTTGATTATAATATCATACAATTTCAACTGAATACAACTAACCTAAAATCAATTATAATTGCCAAAATTTTGTTTTAATACTTTGAGCATAATGAAGAGCTAAATTCTCCCTTGTGAATCATCAAATTGGTGTGCGAATACAAATCTAGAAAGCTTTATGCTTACTAGGATGAATGCATTTTCTAATTCAATATACTTTAGGGTGCAACTGCCATGCATGAAGTTTTCTCAGTCTTTGCACTACTGCTATTTGGGGTCAGAGAATTCTTTTGGGGGTCATCCAATGCACTGAAGGATAGTTAGCAGCATTCCTGGCCTCCACCCACAAGATGCTAATAGCATTCAATATAGTTATGACAATCAAAAATGTCTCCAGACATTACCAAGTGTCCCCTGGGGGGCAAAACTGCCCCTGGTTAAGAACCTTTGCGTTACTGTAAAATGACAAGCACTTATGAGAGGCACAAAACTGATTAAACCATGGTACCATTCCAGAGCTATTAAAAAAAAAAAAAAGACTATGATTCCACCTCTACCCTTCCTTACACTGAACCAAATGCAATCGATCATACTCAAATGTCTATAAGAAATATAGTCATCAAATATTAACATTAGGTGTGCAAGAGTAACACAATACAGCAGAAACTCCAGAATTTTAAATGGAAAACTCATGGAAAATTATTCCTTTGCAAAATACAGAATCATGTTCCAAAATAAACAGTATTCAATAATATACCTACTAATTTGGATATGATAGAAAATGGTCATTTTTCTATTTAAAATATTATCATTGGAATATTTAAGATGTCATAAGGCTAAGTATAATTCATTCTTGATGCATTCAGGGACTATTAAATTTATGGATTATTCAAGATTTCTCTTTTCCTTCTTCCCCTCATTCACTACTCGTTAGCCATTCCACTTCGTTCAAGTACATCCAACTGAGAAAGGTCAAGGTAAATGGAAGGATCCACGGTTTAAACAAGTCCCCTCTGTTCTTCATTAGAAGCACTGTTGATCAAAAAAAGAATGTGGTACAAAAGAACACCAAGCAAAACCTTAGTTATGCCTTAAAATTTCACTTATCCCCAAACCCGTTACTCAAGTTATACAAAGTTGACTATAACACCTTATTCAAAATGGTAGATGGGTTGACCATACAATCAACCTGATCACTTGTAAAATTAATAGTGGCAGACAATAAGCTATGCAAGTTTTGAGGAACAAATACAACCATGGGATGCTGTCATCATTATTATTCATACAAGCAGTGCCTACCTAGCTTCGTTGGAATCACGTACTGTTTCCTACCTCGGAAAAAAACTGCAAGCAGAGAGGAGAGGGAAAATAGTGAAGGGAAAGCAATGAACTAAAATGAACTAAAAGGGTCAAGAGTTCCAGATTTACATTCTGGCTCTGCAACGAACCGTGTGATCTCAGGCAAGAGAATTAACCTCTCTTGGGCAAAGTTTCTTCGTCTATAAAATGAGGACATCAGACTAAGTAGCTCCCAGTGCTACAGATAGACAACACAAGCCATCCATTAAAGGCCTAACCTTCATACTGCTCTGGACTAAATGTAGGACCAAACCCTGGAAAGGCAGAAAGCAGTACAGAAGGCTCTCAACTGTTAATAATTCTATGCCAAGCTTACGTGGCTCTAAGGCTAATGTTTAATAAAATCTAAGCCTCACAAAGGAGTCTCCTATTTTTTTAATTTTTTTTTAAGATTTTATTTATTTGCTTGAGAGAGAGTGAGACAGCGCAAGAGAGAGAGAGCACAGAGGGGGAGGGAGAAGCAGACTCCCC